GCCTGCTGCAGTTAAACCACGACAAAACCTCAGCTGTCCAGCAAGGAATAGGAAGAGCCACAGAGTCATGATAGGAGCTGAACGTGGCATGGTCACAGCTGACTGCATTTCACTGTGAAAATCTCCCTCCTTACCTGTAACTTTAAGGTCAATAGTAGCCTCCTGTGTAACAGCACTGCCATTCACTGCACAAACATATGTCCCCTCATCAGCTACTTGCACTTGCCGGATAACCAGAAGAAGTGCTCTACTGTGCCAGTGTCCTGCAATCCTCCACTGTTCTTCATCTTGGCATTGCTCCACCACACCACCCAGGCTGGAGGAAGAGCACAGTGGAGCATCCCTCCCCTTTTCCATTTTGTACCAAAGCACACTCGTGTTAGAGGGGACACTCTCTGTCAGCTGGCAGGACAGAGTCACTTGGTCTCCGACAAGGACAACTGATGGTTCGATGCCAATGGTGATAGGCACTTCACCTGCAAGAAAGAGGTGGGATCAAATGCATTGTTTTTCTCCAGGAGTGTTATCTTTCCACAGTGGGAAGAAAGCCACGTGTCAGCTGAATCCAAATCAGAAAGCTCGGCTCTAAGTTAGAGTCTCACAGCTCCCTACAATAGTGAGGACAGGGTCTTGAGTCATTGTTACCATCTCCTCCAGGAAAAGACATACTACACAGTTACCAAATTTCCTGGTGTGTAGTTAGATAATACACCTACGCTGCTTCCATGAAATACCTGACACTCCAGAGCAGCACTGAGGTATCTCACATCATCAACGTGGCTGATGTCCCAAAATGAGGAGCTCAACATGAGCCAGCAATGTACGCTCATAGCCTGGAAGGTGAACCATATCCAGGGCTGCATCAAGAGCAGAGTGGCCAGCAGGTCAAGGGAGGGTATTCTGCTCCTCTACTATGTTCTAGTGAGACCCCACCTACAGTGCTGCTTTCAGTTCTGGTGCCCCCAACACAAGAGCCACTAGAGAGAGTCTAAAGGAGGCCACGAGGATGATCCGAGGGCTGGAGCACCTCTGCTGTGAGGACAGGCTGAGGGAGTTGGGGCTGTTCAGCCTGGAAAAAGAGAAGGGTCCCGGGAGACCTTCTAGTGGCCTCCCAGTACCTGAAGGGGCTCCAGGAAGG